AAATTAAGGCCGGGCGCCGGTGGCTCACACCTGTAATCCTAGCACCCTGGGAGCAGAGGTGGGCGGATTGCTCAAGGTCAGGAGTTTGAACCAGCCCTGAGCAGAACGCGAGACCCATCTTACTATAAATAGAAAGAAATTAATTGGCCAACATATATATGTATATAAAAAAAAATTAGCCGGGCATGGTGGCGCATGCCTGTCATATATATATAAAAAAAAAGCACAGGGGTAGAAAATAGGGAATTGGGTGTGTTAAAAGACTGCTGTAAGTTTTATGCATATTTCAGCTCTGGAATCACCTCACCATTGCTGTATCATGAATGGAGCAAAACATCTGAAGAAGGGGGATGCTTAAAGTCCAGATGCTGCATTACAGAGCTTTCCATTCCTGAAATAAGGCTTGAATCTCAGCCACGCAATGCAGGGGCTTCTAAGAGGCACACGAGATTAAATGCAAAGATACACAAGATGATATTTTGACTTCTGAGAAAGTTATCCTCACCCAGGGAGACCAGGTTCCTGTAGTTCTCCAACATCACGGCCCTGTATAAAGCCCTCTGAGCAGGGTCCAGGCACTTCCACTCTTCCTGAGAGAATTCTATGGCCACATCCCTGTATGTCAAGTGTTCCTAAAATGGAAAAAACACATTTCACTAAGGCATTACAGAGAGTTATCATCTTCACACAAAATGAGGAGAGGAGCAAAATTAAATATTAACTTGCTTGAAGTCAATGTTCTCACAAATCCAGAGCAGGTTTTCTACTTCTGAGCAGGTTTTCTCTATCTAAATGCATTTTATTGTACTTTCCATAAGAGATTGATAACCTCTAAATCAGTATGAATTTCTCAGTTTTGTGGACAATACACGCAATAAACAAATAAAATGTAAACACAGCGTTATCTCCATAGAAATGTTATATAGTATATTTAACACACTAAGAGATAATTAGTATCTAGATGAGCTGGAATACAAGTGGTGTCTTCAGAGATGACAAAATCCGCAGTGGCTTTAAAGAAAGTGAAAAGTCAGAATCTAACAACTGTGGTGCTAACAGCAACAGCAATGACTAACATTTTTCAACACTTCCCATGTGCAAAACACTATTCTAAATTCTTTACATGTACAACTAACTCATAAAAAAAGTTCCTAGCCCATGACAGACAGAGTTATACTAGAAGACAACTCCCATCACAGATGCTCTAAGAAACTGGCCACAAATCAAAGAGCTAAAAATAGCAGAGCAAGCACCAGAACCCAGGTGTCTGGGATTCAGATTAAAACATAAGGGCCAGCCGGTGCGGTGGCTCATGCCTGTAATCCCAGCACTCTGGGAGGCCGAGGCAGGAGGATTGCTCAAGGTCAGGAGTCAAAACCAGCCTGAGCAAGAGCGAGACCCCGTCTCTACTACAAATAGAAAGAAATTAATTGGCCAACTTATATAGAAAAAACTAGCCGGGCATGGTGGTGCATGCAGCTACTCGGGAGGCTGAAGCAGGAGGATTGCTTGAGCTCAGGAGTTTGAGGTTGCTGTGAGCCAGGCTGACGCCACAGCACTCACTCTAGCCTGGGCAACAAAGCGAGATTCTGTCTCAAAAAAAAACAAAAAACAAAAAACAACCAGTCTCAGTAAATATAAGCAGCATATAAAGAAATATTTCAAGGGGGATGTGTTACTAAGCCATACTCATGGAAAATGTTCTGAGTCTTCACCCCTTGTGCTTGATTTAGGCAGTGTTCCCGAACAATTGTCCAGTGGATGAGTAGTCTTGCCTTATTCAGTGAGAGTAGCGTGGGAAGCAAGGGTCATTTGGAAATTGGGGGTTCAGAAGCATAAAATCGACATGCTAGGAAGTTAACAGTATATTCCATCAACATCAAGGTACCATGTGAGGAATGACCAGGACAGAGGAAGGGCAGAGTGGAGGGCAGAGAGTTATGGCCATGTAGAAGTAAACTTTGTATATGCAAATCTGTGGGAATATAACTGTGCTGAAATAGTTCAAATTCTGACCTTGGAAGAAAGAGAAACTAATTTAGCAAGCATTATATAATATTGACCCATGGTTAAATATGGGTATTACACCATGGATGTGGGACAAGAACGGAAGAGATCCATAAAGGAGATAGCCTAGTGACATGGGAGGAAAGCAAGTGTGACAACTCTTAAAGGTCCTGTGAATTCTATCCCCAAGCATATATTCAACAAAAAGGACTTTTTAAAATATAGTCTAGATTTATGTACACACAAGAGTACAGCACTGTAGGAGACCACTGGGGCAGGAGGATGATCCCTGGCTAAGTAGGCAGAGATATGTTTGGAGAAACAAAGCTACATGAAGGCTGTTGCCAAGGTCTCTGCTTGGTCACATTAGTGAAGAAAGACAATAGCCCACTAGCACTCTGGGAGGCTGAGATGCAAGTAACTGCTTGAGCTCAGAAGTTCGAGAGCAGCCTTAGCAAGAATGAGAACCGTCTTTACTAAAAACAGTACAATTAGCCAGACATGGTGGTACACCCCCCCTATAGTCCCAGCTACTCAGGAGGCTGAGGCAGGAGAATCGCTTGAGCCCAGGAGCTTGAGGTTGCAGTGAGTTATGACACCCCCGCACTATAGCCCAGGTGACAGAGTGAGACACAGTCTTAAAACAAACAAACAACATATATATAAATCAATAGCCATTCCCTGAATTAATAGTCCTCACACTACAAGTGTAAAAGAAAGAACACTAAAACTATCATTAAAAATATGAAACTGAGGCCGGGCGTGGTGGCTCACGCCTGTAATCCTAGCGGAAGACCCCGTCTCTACATATAATAGAAAGAAAATTAATTGGCCAACAATATATAATAGTATAAAAAAATTAGCCGGGCATGGTGGGCACATGCCTGTAGTCCCAGCTACTTGGGAGGCTGAGGCAGAAGGATTGCTTGAGCCAGGAGATTGGAGGTTGCTGTGAGCTAGGGCTGACGCCATGGCACTCACTCTAGCCTAGGCAACAAAGCGAACTCGTCTCAAAAAAAAAAAAAAAT